ATGTGATTTAAAATTTGTCCTCCTCTGTTAACATAATTTTAATGTAGCTTTCCTAAGTGCCAGTCACAATAAGTTCGAATTTATTTCGCTGCCTGACTTACCTGAAAGTGAAGTATGGTAGTGTGTTTAGATTCACATATCACTGAATATGATTTTTTTGTTAAGCATACCTATGTTACTGCTTGGAAGTTCTCTTGGAGGAGTTTAAGTTTTGGAGTACAGTTTCTAAAAATATATCAAGAATGAGCCTGTAAATATGTTGAAACATATTTTGTGGGATTTTTATAAGATGGTTGAGGAATTTTTCTCAGTATATATATTTAAGGAGATTAATTATAGGCACTTAGAATATACAGACCAGCCAACAAGAAAAAGGCCAACGTCTGCACTGATGAAAGATACTCAACACATCTTCCATTTTTATTTTAGACTTTAAATGGCAACTACACATTTTTTCTGTTCTGGTTTTTGCTTTCCTTTTGAAAAGTTAATTAACTGACTGCTGCCATATGAGAAACAATTCTGGTAAAATGTTATTTCTTTTAAGGCGCTCGCATTTGGCTGTTCATTGGTTTCATGCTGGCCTTTGGATCTCTGATTGCATCTATGTGGATTCTCTTTGGAGGTTATGTTGCTAAAGGTAAGGGAAAACAGTTTACATTTTACTTCAATGAAATACTGAAGTTGTGCATTAGAGCTGGTTATTTTAGAGTAAAGGTGTTTTTCATACAGATGGGTCAGCGACTAGCTACTAGCATTTATACCTGGGAACTCCCTTCACCCTATCCGTATTTTGTTTTGTTTATTTGGTATGTTTTTACTATTCCTTTCTTCTGTATTTGTTCTTCTAATCTAGAGTCTGGAAGTAACGGTACACAGCTCCAAACCTTGCTTCTCTTTGGCTTCCAAAAACCTCAAAACCAGGATATATATGTTCTGTAGCTGTTTGGCAAGTTTTGTCTTGCTGAATGATATCCATGCAAAGCTCTAACATCCTCGAATTAAAATTTGTTGAGCTAAGCCTCCCTGGTACTATGACATCATCTCCTTTTAGACAGAAAGTAAATTAACACTTCATGTGCATCTGCTGTATAAGGCCAGTGTAAAGCAAGGCCTGCTCTTAGACCCCTGTTTGAAATTTTTCCTTGAGGGACCCCAGAAAAATACGAAAATCCCTTATTGTTCCAGGTAAAATCGACTATGCTTCTCACAGTAAAAATATGGTATTAAGGATTTGCAAAAACTGGACCAGCAGAGATCTAATCCAGCCCATATTTTAACCCTTTATTTCTTTAAACAAAATGTAATTCTTGGATTAAAATCATGGGTTTCCTGAACTTTTTATTAAGATCATTTAAGTCTTATAGACAGGAATGATAGGCATTTTAAATATGTATTTTTGTTGTTTATATAACTTATTACTAAAGCCATATTCCCAAAAATGTAGAGAAGAAAGAAACTATAATAATGTACTGTTTTTAAATGTTTTGGTATATTTCCTCTGGCCTCTTCTTTTATGTTTTTGTGTAGTTATAATCATAGTGTAAATATAATTTTGAACCTAGGTTTTTGCATTTTACATGATATCCTCAGTAGTTCTCTTGCTGCTACAAAATCTTTATCACCATCATATTTTAAAAACAAAAATTTACTTTTTTATCATGTGAATTCCATAGTACTCATTCATTATAGAATACTGATAACAGGGGCGCCTGGGTGGCTCAGTCATTAAATGTCTGCCTTCGGCTCAGGTCATGATCCCAGGATCCTGGGATCGAACCCCGCGTCAGGCTCCCTGCTCTGCAGGAAGCCTGCTTCTCCCTCTCCCTCTGCCCCTCCCCGCTGCTTGTGTGTTCCCTCTCTCGCTGTGTCTCTGTCAAATAAATAAATAAAATCTTTAGGAAAAAAAAATACGGATAATATAAAAGAGCTCAAAGAAGAAAATAAAATTATTGATAATTTTCCTCTCCCAGATGCAACTATTAATACAGAGCCCCTTTTTGTAGAAATGTGTTTATCTCACAGAATTTTTTTTAAACATTTTATTTATTTATTTGAGAGAGAGATAGAAAGTGAGAGAGAGCACAGTGGGGTGAGGGGCAGAGGGAGAAGCAGACACCCTGCTGAGTAGAGAGCCCAATGTGGGGCTCCATCCCAGTACCCTGGGATAATGACCTGAGCTGAAGGCAGACGTTTAACTGACTGAGCCATCCAGGCACCCCAATCTCACAGAATTTTTAGTTATTTTCCTAAAGACTTCTGGAGCCAGGTTATGCTTTGACAATTATTAGCAGGAGATCTGTAATTTTGTAAGTTGCCTTTCTGTAGGATCCTTAGGAGCCATTCTAGTGGTAGTAGTTCCAACTAATGTGGAATATTTAATCTGGCCTTAAAGTAGTGAAACCTATGCAAACCAGTTGTCACGGTAATCAGATTAATTGAAAACTATTCTGAGAAAAAGTTGATAATTCATCTACTTATCATGCTTGGTTTGTCAATTAATGAGTAATCATTGACAGCTCCAACAGTGGAAATTTATGAGGATTTCAACTTCAATCTGGGATAAATTGGAACAGAATGTTCCTCTGGCAGTCTTGCCCATCCTAGCTAATGGCTTCTCTGTCCCTCCAAATGTTCAGGTAAAAACTGGGTGATGAAAGCCTGTCAAAAATGATACTTCTCTTTCTCCCATACCCCAGTCCATCAGCAGATCCTGCTGATTCTGCTGCTAAAATATATCCTGAATCCTACCACTTTTTTTTTCTTTTAGAGAGAGAGAGGGAGAGAGAGAGAGCGCATGTGCTTGTGCACAAGCATGCGCGAGTGGGGGAGGGGGCAGGGAGGAGGAGCAGAGGGACAGAGAGGATCTTAGGCAGGCTCTACACTCAGTGCAGATTCCAATGTGGGGTTCTGTCTCACTATCCTGAGATCATGACCTGAGCCAAAATCAAGAGTTGGACGCTTAACCCACTGAGCCACCCATGTGCCCCGCCACCATTTTTTTTTAATATAGATTTTTTTTTTTTAAGTAATCTCTACACCCAGTGTGGGGCTCGAACTTAAAACCCCTAGATCAAGGGTCACATGCTTTACCGACTGAGCCAGCCAGGCACCCCCTGAGTCCCACCACTTTTTACCATCTCCATTGCTACCACCCTGGTTCAGTCTGTTAGTCTCCTGTCTGATTTCCTGAAACCACTTCCTCACTGATTTCTGTTTCTCCTCTTACCCCCTTTTGTCTACTCAGCTCAGCAGCCAGGGGAATCCTATTAAAATATGTCATTACTTTTCTGCTCAGAACCCTCCAGTGGCTTCTCATCTTCCTCAGAGTGAAAATCAAAGCCCTCACCGTGACTGCAAGGCTCCATATGATCTTCACCACCCCGCCACCCGCCCCTCATTCTTCTCTGATCTGTGTCTTGCTTTTCTCTCTTTTGCCCACATGGCCATTCCTCTCATGTGCCAGCCCGCCCCCACCTCCAGGCTTACTGTGCTTGCTCTTCTGCTGCTTCTGCATGGTCCTGCCCTCATGTACTTCCTGTCCTTTTGCCACTGTCACCTTTTCATGAGGTCTTCTTGGCCGCTTGGATAAAATGTAATCATTCACTGCACTTCCCTTACCTTTTCTCCTCATTTTTATTTACTTTATTTTTTCTCCTCATTTACTTATTCTCTATGTTGTTTAGCTTCATGAAGATGAAAAAAATTTTGCCTGTTTTATTTACTTTCCACATTACAGTGCTGAACATGGTATGCACTCACTAAATATGTGTTAAATGAAGGAAGGGAGCTATCACTTACTAAACCAGTGCTAGACTCTGTCACATGTATTATGTCATTTAATACTCAAACCAACCATGGTTACCAGAAAATTCAATTATGTAAGGCAGGAAACCTGCTATTCACCAGTATATCAGAAACTAAATGTTTTGAGACCATAAACCTTTAAATATTACAACTATTTTTACAGAAAAAGCCATCGTATACCCTGGAATTGCTGTATTTTTCCAAAATGCCTTCATCTTTTTTGGGTAAGTTTCTTTTGCATTCTTTATCCTATTTTTTGTAATTCTTTTTTTTTTTTTAAGATTTTATTTATTAGAGAGTGAGAGAGAGAACATGAGTGGAGGGGAGGGGGAGGTAAGGGGAGGGGCAGATGGAGAGGGAAAACCAGGCTCCCCGCTGAGCAGGGAGCCCAATGTGGGGCTCTATTCCAGGACCCTGGGATCATGGCCTGAGCTGAAAGCAGATGCTTAACCGACTGAGCCATCCAGGCGCCCCTGAATTCTTTTTTTATAATTGTTTCTTTTATGTTACTGTATTTAGCTGATTAATTTACCCTGGCCAGTGTCCCTCCCCCATGTTATGTCATAAAGTATGAAGAATGAGACTGAGAAAGATACTTTAATACAGGAGCTGGTTGTTAACCAACCTCAGGAACACACACTGACTTTATTAAAGCGCCACCACTTCCCCTTTAACGAAGAACTGTGATTCGTGTAGATTTTGTTACAAAATACTGACCGTGTTCATTTTAAATCTGTATTTCTAATAGCTGCTTTCGGTGAATGCCTGCTTAAAACTTTTTCTCCTTAAAATTTTGTTTCTGAATGCATTTTATAGTTCGTTCTATCCTTGGTGTCATTAGAACTCATGCATGAGAATTGAGGTGTGGAGGAGAAGCCCTAACATTTTTTATCCTTCTGATGCAATGACAAATTAAAAGATTACTAAACCCCTAAAAACCTTAATATTTTCATCAATAATCTTCTCTAATGTTCATTCTTTCCTGGATACTAAGCCTTCCACCCTTGCCACCACCACCCCCACCAACCCGCACCCAAAATCTTCTTTATCCTCTGCATCAGGGATTCTTTTTTTTTTTTTTTAAGATTTTATTTATTTATTTATTTAAAGAGAGAGATTGGGGGTGGTGGGCAGAGGGAGAGAGAATCTCAAGCAGACTCCACCCTGAGCCTGGAGCTCAAGCCCAGGGTCCTGAGATCATGACCTGAGCTGAAACCAAGAGTTGGACTCTTAACCGACTGCGTCACCCAGGTGCCCCTGCAGCAGGGGTTCTTTTTTTTTTTTTTTTTTTTAAGATTTTATTTATTTATTTGAGAGAGAGAATGAGAGAGAGAAAGCACATGAGAGGAGGGAGGGTCAGAGGGAGAAGCAGACTCCCCGCTGAGCAGGGAGCCCAATGCGGGACTCCATCCCAGGACTCCAGGATCATGACCTGAGCCAAAGGCAGTCGCTTAACCAACTGAGCCACCCAGGCGCCCCTGCATCAGGGGTTCTTAACCATCATCCTATGGGTAGGGTTCTGAAGAGGGGAAAGCACCAGACATTTTTGTGTGCAAGACACTGGGTGTTTCTAGGAAGAGAGTCTATGGCTTTCATGATTTTCAAAGAAGTCCCTAATCCAAAAAAAGGTTAAAAAACTGCTCTGTATTCTAGGACAGTCTGTTGTAGGACTTCTTTTCTATCCCTTCTTACCGACCCCCCAAAACGAAATTGAAGCCCCATATCTACTTCAGCCACTCATGAAATGCTGATAGTTGCCTTTCAGTTACGTTCAGCAGTGGTATCCAAACTTTTCCTCCACCAGGAATTCTTGCAGTTTTATAAAATCAGTTTGGAAATAAGAAAAAAGTGAACTTAGATGGCAAGATGCACAACGTCTTTGGGTCTTTCCTTGGGTCCTCAAACTAGTGGAGAAAACCCAAAGGGTTTAAACAACAACAACAAAAAGCTAAGCCACTGATTTTATGCAGAACATAATAATGACCAGAGTTTATTGAGCAATTACTATGTGCGAGGCACCATTCTTAGTATTTTACCTGTATGCTCTCAGTTAATTCCTGTAACAGCTCTGAAGGTGGCCCCATTATTATCCCCATATTATATGTGAGAAAGTAAGCACAGAAAAAATAGGCCCCTTGATTGAGATCACGTGGCTAAAACTGAGGCTGTCTGACTACAGAGTTCAGGCTCTAGCTACTAGTAGGATGACGTTCCAGATTTGGGGATGAATTCAGTTGATGTTTTCTCCTTTTGCTGTCCTCAGCCAGTTGTTTAGTATCAGTTCTCTTTCTCTCCTCCCCCCTCCTTTTTTGGGAGTATAACACTGTACTTCAAAAACATAGCACGAGTAAACCTCATTCCTCAGCTTTATGAAATAAAATTCGGGTAGTTTATTATTTTGTAGGCTAGTGTAGCATGTTCATGAGCAGGACGGTGTGGGTGGGTAGGATTTCTTTTCCTTTCAAGCTGCAGTGCTGAGGCTTGGGCCCCAAGCATCCTGAGCTCACTACTCCAGTGTCTCCACAGGGTGGGAGGCCCTTGGGAACTCAGGGCCCCACAACTTCAGCCAAGGGAGGTAGTGTGAGGGTGTGGAAGAAAAACTTCAGGATGGAGTTGGGGGAAGGGGATTTACTGAGAACCAGCCAGGGAGGGGCAAACAGCAGCCTTCTTTATCATTCTTTACTGTGGCAGAGAGAAGGGGTAAAGCAAGGTCCATCTTGAGATGCTGCCATAGCAGAGAAGTCACTGTGTCTCAGGAGGGAGGGACAGGGGATTGAGGGGGAAGATTTGCAGGAAATGTGTTGTCTCTTCCAGTGAGGGAAGAAACACATGAGTTCACATAGCAGTTTTCATGTCACAAAACCCTGGAAACCGATCATTGACTTGTCTCAAATTAGTTACGATAAATTCCTTTTATATGGAACAAGTTTGGTTAGTTTCTTATTTGGTACTAATGTCCCTATTATAAAGACTAAAAACCATGTTGTTTTTTTTTTAAAGATTTTATTTATTTATTCATGAGAGACAGAGAGAGAGAGAGAGAGAGAAGCAGAGGGAGAAGCAGGCTCCCCACTGAGCAGGGAGCCCGACGCGGGACTCGATCCCAGGACTCTGGGATCATGACCTGAGCCAAAGGCAGACACTTAACCATCTGAGCCACCCAGGCGCCCAAAAACCATGTTTTTTTAAAATAACTATAAGCAAATTGAAATTAAATTCAACTAATAAACACTGTTACTAGAATAGTTGTAGCAGATTGCCTACCATTCTGATTTGTAACAGAACAATAATACTCAGCAGTAGCTGAGAAATTACTGTTTCAGAAATCAGACACAGATGTCAGTACCAAAGGTGACCATCTGACAGTGTAGGAGGGACTGGGTTTTGCCCAAGAAACTCTTCAGATTACAGTTTACATCTGTTGACTAGTCTTCATTCTGAAGTATGTCCCAACCAAGCTATCTGGAGGGTAGAGGCCTGCTATTAACCAGAAGATCAGAGATCAAATCCCCTTTTGGAGCTTTATGAAATCCTTTATAAAGAGAAATTAACATACTTGCAAGAGAGCATACAGACAGTTTCCTGGTTGCATTTTTATTTTCCTCAAAAAACACTCAAGGGTTTACCTCTAGAAAGGCTTATGAAAGCCTTTTTAAATTGATCATTACGATTGCAGGCTTAACCTTGAGTAGACACTGGGGCCTGGAAGACATGAGAAAACAAATGCAAACCAGCCCGTGCCACGTCTACCACCATCTTCCGTTTCTTCCTCCCACTTGCCCCCCACATCCAAGGCCTCTTGAACGGCCTCTGAAGGGTCTCAGACTTGCTCTCTTTCTGTCCGTTTCTGTTGTTGGGTCACCATCGTCCCTTCCTGAGCACTTCACATCCCTGATGGTTCCTCCCTTGGATCCAGTTTTCCTATGTCACTTTTTCTTCTAAAACATGGCTCTAATGCTGTCATTTCTCATCTTAAAATTTTTCAGAACTTGGAGCTGTCTACAGAAGAACTCAACACTAGTGGCCATCCAGCCAAATTCTGTCCATAGTTCTGTTTTATTTATCCTGTACAGTATTTTCTGTTTTATTGAGCCAACATTTAAAACCAAGAGATTTTTACGTTAAAATCTGAATTTTTGGCTTTTCCTCAAAAACTGGAAGATCTGACAATCCTGAGCCTTGCACAGCAACAGTCAGCTGGAGGTAGACAGTTGTTCCTTTTAAACGGGGTGCATCTCTGCAAAACCCCATTTCATAAATTGCCTGGGAGTGAGTATCAGTTGCCCTCTGTAGTAGAACATACAGGCTGGCACCTGCCCTCTTGACTCATTTAAGGCATGTGCGGCCCCTGTGGGCAATTAGCCACCAATTAGTCAGTTGGTTTACCAAATCCTGGCCACCTCCGTTCCCTGTCTTTCTTATCTCTTCAGCTATAATCCAGCCATATTGCCCTCCTCCCTTCTCTACTACACTTCAGGTATCTTTACGTCTATCCAGAGATCTAGATCTAGACATAGACCCATACCTCCTTATGCATACAATTGCCGTCTTGCCCCTCTTTAAGTCGAAACCTTGAGGACAGCTGTAGACAGTTGCCCACCTAAACCCTGGGTGGTAAGTTCTGTGTGGGTATATTCCTGACACAACAGTCTTTCGGGCTTCTCCTGAGGCCCTGTGGTCTTTTTTTCCTCTTTGCCTTTTGATATGTTGTTTCCTCTCCCTGAAACATCTTCCTTCATCACACTAGCTCCTGTTCCTACCAGTCTCCCATTGAAACTGCTGCTTATCCTTCAAAGCCCATTCCAAATATTACCACTTCTGTAACTTCTTTCCTAACACATTCAGGCAGAATAAATTCTCTATGTTTCCGTGTTCTCTCAACATTTGATAAATACACCTCTTCTCCGCCCCCCCACGCTCCCTCCACCATTACTACATTGTGTCACCAAGAATGTGAAATGTGAGCAGCTTGAGGGCAGGGACACCATATCTTTTGTATTTTTATAGCCTGAGCACCTAGCACATTATATTCAAAAAAGGTTTGTTGAATGAATATGATAAAATTAGACATATAATGGTTACATACTAAACATCGGTTAACTTTTTAAGAGTGGCATAGGTCTCCAGTACTCAGAAGTCAAGGACATGGGAAGTACATGATCAGTTTGTGTTCTGATGCATTCCATGGTTTTTTTCATACAACTCATCAATCCTTTGTTGCTAGTTTCCCACCATTCTCCCAATCTCACGTACTCTTTTTTTTCCCCCCAAACTCAACTAGATGTGATGTTTCTTATTTTATTTGCAGAGGACTGGTTTTTAAGTTTGGCCGCACTGAAGACTTATGGCAGTGAAAACATCCGGTTTGCTTCCGCACAGCAGTCCTGCATGGGTTTTTTACTACTCACTCCCCAGTTTTTTGTAATGCCATTTTCTAAACTCATTTTCGAGTGTAGTCTCAGCTTCAGTTTGTGTAATACTAAAATCATGAGAACTTCCTATGTAAACAACAACAAAAATCTATTGTGGTGTGCATCGGATTAACTTATAAAATGTTGAAAATAGGCCACATGAGTAATTTTTATTAAGTTTTATCATGGTATAATTTGTAAAAATAAATTACAAAAGGAATTATGGATACATCTTGTATGAGCATTTGTCATATCCAAGGTCTAAAACTACAGATTAAAGTGCTCCAAAGATTTATTGTGTCTGTTTAAACGTGGCCTATTCTGTGTCAAATGTTAAATGAAATATAAACATTTCTTGTTTTTAAATCTATGCAGTGGTCAGAATTCTTTCTCACTATACTTTGTGTTTGGTTTATACAGTTTTGCCAAAAATTCTGGAAGCATTTCAGCGTAAGTAGCTGTTGAGGGTCTCCCAAGGGGTGAGTGACCGTGTTGGTGCCCCTAATGGGGGGGTGGGGAGTGGCAATCACTCAGCCATGACCCATGGTCCTGGGGGGATGCTGACAGTCACTCCACATCCACCACTGAAAGAAGGGAAAAGGACAGAGACTTGACACTGGGCTTTACTCGGGTGGCAAATTTTTTGTTGTTGGTTTGACAATAAATTGGATTCCAAGTTTCATCGTATCTCTGTACTGAACCACTAACCTCAAAATAGACCAGCAAGGTCAATTAAAATGACAGACATTAACTACTGAGAATTCTCATGGTTTGTTCCTTTTGTCAGGCTCTCCCCTTCCCCCCACCTTGGCAAAATGGGAATCTTCTTGTAAATGAACTAGCTAACTATGGGGTACCTGTTCTTTAGAAATACAGCTCGAAATGTTTTCTTTCATAAAATTTGCTATAGTTAGCCCTGCCTGAAACACAGAATATCTCCTAGATGATTTAAATTTGTGGTGCTCTTGTCCACACCAGCCATGTGGTCTTTCACTGTGTACATATGGAATATCTCCTGGGCATCCAGACACACTCAAAAAATGGCCATGTTGCTGCCATCCCACAGCCGATCACTCACGGTGGGTTTTCAGAGAATTTGAGGGCATATGAGAGGTTGAAGGTCCACCTTCTCTTTTTACCAGATGAGGGAACCCAGACTGTGGAAACATTGATTTTCTGAAGGTCATAGAACCAGTTTTTTAATCTTGAGACACTGTATCTCCACAGTTTACCATGTTTTTCCCTATAGTTAAATCCAGAATGTGCCCAGGTTATAAGAACTACTTTGT